CAACACATGCAAAGAACGGATAAGAGCTTGCAAGTCGAAGGAGCTGGCATAATAAATTTGGAAAATCAAATGGGACAGATATCAATGGCAGTTTCAGATAGACTATTAGGAGCATTACCTAATGACACTGAAACGAATCCTAAAGAGCACAGTAAGGCTATAAGTACCGTAGTGTAGTACAGCTACCTGAGATAAAAATGTGGAGAGACAAATTATTACAAAAGAAAAGGCACATACTACAGTTGAGGAGCAATTTGAGGAATCTGAGTAAAACGAAGAAATAGAGACACAACAAGCATCGAAGGATCCAAAGGTTAAGGAAACAGCTCCTACTAAAGAATTTGTATCACCACTACCTTTTCCACAAAGATTGCAAAAGAGAAAGCTTAATGATCAATTCGAGAAGTTCTTGGATATGCTGAAAGAGCTCTACATAAACATCATATTCATCAATGTAATCCGACAGATCCTGATATATGCAAAGTTCTTGAAGGATATGATATCTAAGAAAAGAAAGCTTAAAAACTCGGAAGAAGTGGCATTGCCACCAAAACTCAAGGACCCATGGATTTCACTTTACCTATTTCACTAGGCAAATGATTTCATTTTAATGCTTTATGTGATACATGTGCAAGTGTATACTTAATACCTTTGTCTACTTTCATAAAAACTAGGAGTTTGAAAAGTCAAAGGATCGAATGTGATGCTGCAGCTGGCAGATAGGAGCATCAGATACCCATGGGGCAAGGTACAGGATGTGTTCATCAAGATTGGGAAGCTGATATTCCCCGCGGACTTCCTAGTTATGGACCTCAAAATTGACTAAGATATGACGATAATATTAGGTCAACCGTTTTTATCAACAAATCGAACCTTAATTGATTTGGAGAAGGATGAACTGACTGTGAGGGTAGAGGACGCACATGAGGTCTTTAAATTAAATAATACAACTCAAGCAACCATTAGTCCTGAAGGAAGCCAAATCTTTTGCTGACGAATTTTAACAAGGGTCAAATCAGAAAAAGTCTAAACGTTCAAAGAGCCTTGCTCGAGAGGAGAATAAAGAGCTCAAGGTTTGAAGGGTGAAAAGAGGATGTAAAGCTGGAAATTGCAAGGAGTGTAAGGCTACAAAACTCCAGCGTTAACCACCACGATTAGTCCTTCCATACAGTCTAATTAAAAACTATAAATTAAGAGTTTATTGAGAGGCAACCCAATTTCCTAATCATTTTATTTATTTTGCTTTTCGTATTATATTGCATATAGTGTTATTCTTGACTTATAGGTTGCATTAGTTATAAGCATGTTTAAATTCAGTTTGGGGGTCATCTTCATCATTGACACTTAGTCTAGTTAAAGGAAAACATTAATTGAGTCTAAATGAATTTTCTTTTTATTCTTTCGATTGTTTTCTTCTTTGCTTTAAAGGGGTACCATGGATTATAGGTTACATTAGTTATAGACATGTTTAAATTTAGTTTGGGGGTCATCTTCATCATGGGCATTTAGCGTAGTTAAAGGAAAACATTAATTGAGTCAAAATGAATTTTCTTTTTATTCTTTCGATTGTTTTCTTCTTTGCTTTATAGGGGTACCATGGATATTGATATCGGAAGGAGCTTAGCAAAGTACAAGTTGCATTAAAATGACAAATTACTTCTCATACATTGAACAAGAAAATTCGGAGAATACCTTCTTCCTTTTCTTCCACATCCTCTTACATTCTTACATGTACTTTATGACATTAAGGACAATATCGGTTTTAAACTTGGGGTGGGAAAAAATTTGAGTTTTTACTTTTCACGTGTTTTTGAGTGTTTGCGTATTTATTTTTCGTTATTGCTTTAGTATATAATAGAAAAATAAAAAAATCGAAACATTTGAAAAAAAATCAAAAAATTTGTCATTTTACGAAAAATAAATACGTGAGTTAGATAACTTGTGTAATTGGAAATTGATTTTGATAATATTTTGATTATATTCCATTCATTTTTTAGGTTTTATTCCACCCAATTGTCTCATGGCAATTTTTAAAGTATCTTCTTGTCGTCTGAATTAACTATTATTTGCAATTTGGTCATCAAACTTTGGACTTTGTCATTTTTCCTTTATTTTTCTTTTGTTTCTTTAATTTCTCGTTCAACCATTGAATTTTATCTATATAACATGTTAACCTCAGAAAACGAACTCACATTTTGACTCAATTAATGTTTTCGTTATTGCTTTAGTATATAATAGAAAAATAAAAAAATCGAAACATTTGAAAAAAAATCAATGGATAGGTTGCATACTAGATTGATTGATGCTTAACCCTACAAAATTTGATATTATACACGCACTAGAATTGAGTTTTAAATCATTGATAGTTTGATAGATTGAACATAGATGTTATACCCAAAACTATCCTATATTAATATCCTTAGACCAAATTTAGTATAATTTAAGGATGATTTTACGATTGTAGGAAGATACCGTAAACTAGGATTCCTTGTGTGAAAACTTATGTATGAATTATCTTAGATTAATATGATAAATTTGGGCAAAAATCTTATGTTAAAGGTCGGTTTGATTAGACATGTGGTTAATGAGGGGTATTGCACTAATTAGTATAGAAAAACATATAAAAGACATCTCTTCGTAGCCTTTATGACTCGAGCTATTAAACATGTTGGGGTATTTACAACCTACTACCCTAAAATCATCTGATTTGGGAGTTATCAGCCAAAAGCTCGTTACATAGGTCATATAAAAAACTTAAGGGAGGGAGTGTGCAACAAAAAGGAAATTTTGAAAAAAAGGAGGTGCATGAAACAGAAGACGCACCAAAAGCCCTGGTTAAGCTTCAAACACTTATGTGAGAAGACTTGACTTTTGATGATGAACTATTAGCCTATTTTAGTCCTAAATATTGAAACAATCAAATAATTGAAGAATCTTTATTTATTGATGTGTTGAGTTACAATTAGTAGAGTCCACCTAAACAAGATAGGGTAAGAATAGTAATGAAAAATTTAACCTTAGATTGCACATCAAGGAAAGAGTAAAAAGAATAAATTTGATGGTTTGTAAATCATACGAGAGTTGAAAGGATATATTTGACCATAAAGGGATGGAAATTGAAGCAACTTGTAAATTTATGATTATCTACTTAGTTCTTTACACATACAAGCCAATTTTGCATTAGAAGAGTGGATATTTATTTGGTATTGTGACTTTGAAATAGTTTGTAGATTTAATATGGTGACTTCAAATCTTGAGGTAAAATCTAGATTATCTAACCAAATATTTTTATATGCTTGTGTATTTGTTATTATTTAGACTATAGTTTTATTTGAGGGCAAACAAATGTTTAAATTTGGGAGTATTTAATAAGTGTATTTTATACACTTATTTGGAGGCCTAAAATATCGATATTTGATAGTTCTTTTAACAAAATATATCCTAAATTGTTTTATTTTATGTTATATATGTAAAACTCGATAGTTGAACAACGAATTGGAAGAAACAAAAAAATCAAGGGAAAATGACAAGTCTAAAGTTTGAGGACCAAATTGTAAATAATAGTTAATTCGGACCACAAGACGATACTTTAAAGATTGCTAGAAGATAATTGGGTGGAATAAAAACTCAAAAATGAATGGAATATAATCAAAATCAATTTCCAATCGTACAAGTTATTTTCCAAATTTTTAGTCGAAGATTGAGACCCATTTTTGACATAGTAAATGTCCAAATTAAAAAAATTCTACTTTTAGCAAAGTTGTAGTCCATTCAGTTAGCTTTCCAACATACTTTGAATCATCTCAATCGAATATTGAGAGAAGTTATGGCCAAAATATTGATTGATGTGTAGGGACAAAAAAATGTGTGAGTTAAAAAAAAGTTTCCTTATTCGATTGGAATTCTTTTAGAAATCAATTCAAATGTAATTTTCAAATACCTAACAACAGAATACATATTAGAGATTTCTCATATACATCTCATACTCCAATATTCATCAATTATTATCATCAAATGAGGAAAATTCATAGTTTTTGTGAGAAAATTGAAGGAGACTTGAATGAATTCAATTAATTGAAGATTCAAACTTGATTTTTAGACAAAGAAAAGAAGGCGCAAGTGGAGATTTATCAAGAAACCATTGAAGCGATTCAAGATTCATCTTCTTCTCAATTTATCAAAAAAATCGAATTGTGTGTTTTCACTTAAAGATGATTTCTTGTAATTTCGATATATTAAGCTAGTTTTATACATTGGTAGGATAAGATAAACCATTGTTATGATACTTTTAGTTTTTAATTAATTATTTTGACTTTAATTTGATTTGATTTGTGGACGTTTATTGTTGTTTTTTCGTTATTTTCAATTAATTGATCACCAATTGAATTATTAGTAGATTTTATTGTTGTCGAGAGAGACAATAAGGTTTAAAAACAATATAATAAATTATAAGGTTCGAAAGAGGATAGAGATATATATCTATATTTTATATGGTTTTAATAGGTGTTCTAACACTTTTTAATGCATTTATCATGTTTGCATCTTTCATCGAGAGATAGAAAGGTTACATGAGGGGAATAGATTTGATCTCTATCGAGAGACGCTTTCAATTAAATTAGGAACATTAACCAACGTAAATGATTTCAAATTGTCACTTTAATTGATACACTAAAATAGAATAATAAGGGGGATTCGACGTCTTAACATTTGAAAAATATATTTACTTACTTTCATTAGTTTAATTGATAATTTAAGTATTGATATAAAAACAATCATTAAATTTGTTTGCTATTCGCTTAAGGTTGTAATTAATTTTAAATCAGTTAAACACATAGTTTTCATGGGTTCGACACTCTATTCAACATTATATTACTTGATCACGATCTCGTGCCCTTGCAGATTTTCAAAGGACCATGTACATAACTAGTGGCGGACCCAGCATTGAAGCTCAGCCCGGGCGGACGTTGATCGTGAGTTACGACGAAGCTGTGTGGACCATTTCATTGAGACACTCGCACCACACTTGGACCACCAAACAAGTTATTAACTCTCCCAAGTGCCTCCTCATATGCCCCACCCAAGAACATCCCCAAATAATAGCTTCTACCATCACCATTAATACAACCATTTCTTTCCAACTCATGCAGAGGCAAGCTAGACTCACCTCCTATGAATTTGTCGATCTTCCCATCACTATCATATGTTAAGTCCGACAAAATCCCCCTCACTGCAAGACGCTCATCAAGCTTGTGTATTGGAATAATAGGAAACAACTAGCCAATGCCCAGAAATCAGGAATAGAGGTAAAAACTGATAGATTCACATGGTAAGTGCGGACAGGATCTGAAACCCCAATCACCTTGGAAACCAACTCACAAAGGCCATCAACTGCAGCCAACTGTTCAATCCAAAAACAAGTCTACACATGGTTTAATTGAGCCCAACATCTTCTCCATTAATTTTTTTCACATATCCCTAATTTTCTAAAAACCTAAATTCCCAAATCACAAATCAAAATTATAACTAATAAACTCATAGTCTCAGTCTCTCAGACAATAACACAACATAAAGTCTCATTTCTCATAATACATAAATCACAAATTCACAAATACTATATAAAAAAAAAAGAGAAACAAAGAAGTAGAAATTGAACGGAAAGTGGAAACCGCTTACCGTTCATCGACACTGAGTCAGTTCAGGCGTCCACCGTCCACCACCAGACCACCACTGTCTCAAATCGGCCATCAAAGGCAGCCAGCAGGTCCGCAGCCTAGCAGACGCGAAGTCGTCGTCTCCCAGTATCACTCTCTTCTTGCCGTTTTCAATTTTGGAATTGGGTATGGACTTGTAGCTAATGGTTTTGGCTAATTGATTGGGCCCATTCATTAGGGCGTTAATTTTTTTTTTTTAAAAAATGCCCAAACTGCCGAACAATAATAGAGGGAAAAAAAATTTCACGTGCTTCTTTTCCATTTTCCGGCAAATGGCGGCGGCTTCTTCACTCAAGCTCCCGGCGAATCCAGCATGAGCGGCAGTGGGGGCTTGCCAAGTGCTGGGTCCGCCCCCTGCACATGACTACCTTGTATGAAGCATTGGGTGTTCCAATCCGCGTAAACCATCCCAATTTCATTCCTTTCACAAGAAGGGATCTAACCAATGGTAACGTCGGGGATTCAAAGAGATTGAAATCGTTTATTACTATGCTTTACCAGCTGGTCACTACGACATCGTATACCCTAAGTGACTTTTATTCACATGCAATCTGTTGTCATAAGGTTTGTTCAACTCCCAAGGTTTTATATGGTTAGTCTTGCAGCCTGGTTTTTAATAGAGAATATGAAAGTGTACCTACCCCAATAATGGAATTGCATCTATTATTTTAAAGCTTGCATTTGTGATAATTATACTAACAATTATTTTCTCTCCGTGATTGGTGTTTAGAGGTATATGATTTTAATTATATATCTTTCTCCCACTCGAAGTTGCCCACTAAGCCTGCCAAAAGTTGGGGACCAAGAAGTCACGTTTGGAAGTTGAAGGACCTTGATTGTAAAATTTAAACACTAAATCTAAATTAAAAGAAGAAATAGAGGCCAAATTGCACAAGAAAAGTATAAATTCCAGCAGTTGGAAAAATCCTAATTGAATTAAAATTATGGTTCCCAGTCCTTTTGGGACTCTATTTTCGACACTAAATGGGAATCTTTCATTCCAAAATTAAGAGAGGCTAGAAATACAGTCTTGACGCAAGATTATACATTAAAATACATTGAATTTTCAAGATTTGTATCACAATTTTGGATTTGAAGATTGAAGAACACAAGTGATCGGGAGATACGCAACAATCAAGGAAGACTTGAAGATCATGGCTCGAATTCTGTTGCGAAAGAAAAACGATTGCTTGGATTAAATTATTTATTCATTGTATTGAACCCGGTGATTTTTTCATCACTTTATTTAATTTTAATATTATGATTGGTTAAATTCTTGGTTTTTAGGATGAAATATGTAGCTTAGGTATAATATTTATTTAATTCAATTGACTTATTGCATCTAGATTATGTGTTAATTATTTATCCTTGTTTGATTTCCATTTTTTTCAAAATATATTTCTCTCTTTTATTTTCAGCCACACATTTTTCAATAAAATAATATTACGAAGAAACTCAAAAGTTTTCCTTATTTTTTAACCATATTACAAAGAAACTCAAAGTTTTACATTTTAATAGGCTCAAACACACCCTTATTCCGTGTTTAATGCTTCTATTACTTGATCAACGGTTGATTGATTTAAGGATAATACTAAAATCGAGAGTTGATGTATGATTTTAGCTCATACAATAAATAACATATTCATTATAAGAAATTGGGAGATAATTATGGGCTATGCAATCTATATAGAATTTATGTAGGTAAAGTGTTCGTGTGTGTGTGAATTTACATAGAGATATAGTAAATTTGAGCATGTGTATATGGTTAGTGTTATTCGATAGAGACTATTAACTAAAACTGGTTAATACAATTGTTAATATATATACCTAAGTGAAATCGGAATTCCAACCACTTCATCCAAATAATTCTCCACACACTAAGTTAATTTAGATTTGTTAAGTATAATTTAGGTAAGATATCAATGTCCACAAGTCATAAATAGTGACAAGTGATTGGATCAATGACAGTCAGCAAGTCACATGTTATTGTGCATAGGTTGCAGGCCATAAATCTCAGAGATCTGGTCACATGTCACAAGTAATGCATGTCATATGTTATAGTACATAGGTCACAGATCCATATCAACATATCACATATCATAGAGAACTGGTCACAAGATATTGGATTAATATCATAGGTAACAATGGATCCCTTAATTTGTGATCATTGCCTTCAAAAAGTTTGATACACAGGGCCGACAACTTTTAATTTATGATCTCAATAGTCCGATGATTTTCAATTACTAGATTTCGACGATGGGATTCGAAATTATTTGCTTTGAAGAGTTCTCTTTAACTTTTATCTTTGTTTGATCGTTACAATTTGTTAAAATAGAGAGTATATTTGGAATGAAAACATCTCATAACTGAATACTTGATTTAAGGAGGGATATTTATTAGAATCTAATTTAATATATATTATATACCATCTGACTTTTGAATGTTTAAACATTGTTTTTTAAAATGAAATTGTATATAGTAAACATCTTATATATCTATTGTTCCCTAAAAATAATCTACGAACGATTTTCTATTCTAACATTTTAAAATGAGTAATACTATTTAGTATCACTGGTGTTTAACATCAATCTAGATGGCATCAATTCTGTCATTATATTATATGTTCAATTAAATACAAGAAATTATAACTCATTTATTATGACTTATCACATACTTACACCTAAATTGGTGTTCTAATACCACTGCAACTACATAGCATTATTCTTTTAAAATAGAGGGTGAATTTGATTGCATTTAATAAACTATAGATTTCAATAATATGTTTCTTCTATTATTTAAATCATATTTGAATCAATTGATCATTGACATATAAAATATATATTAAATAGAAGATGAAGAGAAATCAATAACGTTTATTGAGAAAAACAAAATGAAGTGCCGAAATAGAGAGAATTTTGGAGTACATAAAAAATTTTACTCTCTAAACTTAAAATAATTTCTATTATATATAAACTACTCTTTAGAGTGTTTTATAGATTCTCTTAAAAGATGAATATTTTATTTTTTTTAACCCTAATTTGGTATATCTTAAAAAGTTAATAAAAATTCAAATCAAAGTTGTTGGCGTCCGACCTCCGAGGTCGGTTCAGTTCGGATTACTATAGAAGAAGAATAGGTCCTAACATGGGGTCGGTTCGGTAATTGGTATCTGAGGTCAGTCATTGAAGTCAGGTTGGCTATTGTTGCTTATACGAGAAGTTTATGTAGTTTATCGAGATTGAAAGAAACATGATGATTGAAGATCATTGACGAAATATGTATATATCCAATCAGCTGAGTGCATATGTAAAGTTCTGACGTCAGCGACTGCAGAAACTACCAATCAAGTGATTAAGCTCTCTTCCCTAAGTAATTTATTAATTACTAGGGACCACATGTAGGATTAATTCATGATGATTCATTAATTACTAGGGACCACCTGTAGGATTAATTCATGATAACCTGACATTCCAAGCTTGTTTGCCAATATCTTAAAAAGTTAATAAAAATTCAAATCAAAGTTGTTGGCATCCGACCTCCGAGGTTGGTTCAGTTCGGATTACTATAGAAGAAAAATAGGTCCTAACGTGGGGTCGGTTCGGTAATTGGTATTCGAGGTCAGTCATTGAAGTCAGGTCGGTTATTGTTGCTTATACGAGAAGTTTATGTAGTTTATCGAGATTGAAAGAAACATGATGATCGAAGATCACTGACAAAATATGTATATATCCAATCAGCTGAGTGCATATGTAAAGTTCTGACGTCAGCGTCTGCAGAAACTACCAATCTAGTGATTAAGCTCTCTTCCCTAAGTAATTTATTAATTACTAGGGACCACATGTAGGATTAATTCATGATGACCTGACATTCCGAGCTTGTTTGCCAATCCAATTGAGGCAACAATTGTACTTCTTCAGCTAGATATTACAGCTGACAAGACATGGGAAGCCAGATACATGCATATTTCTTACTATAAATAGGGGATGCGAGCCAAAATGGGGGATGAAAACTTCTTTTGAGGTATTACAATATCTCTTTGTATCTCTAAATCATATTTCAAATATCTCCTATATCGGAGGAAAAACAACATTGATTGTTGTTGTGATATGGGAATATTGTGATCCTTTCTCGTTGATAAAACTTTATTTTCCATTAAGTTGGCATGACTATTTGTTTATGCAAATTTCAACATTAATAGTTTGGCGCTAGAAGGAGGGCCTCCAACTTGAAAAAGCAACCTTTTCCTCAAGAAATTCATGAAGGAAATATTGTGATGGATGAATCGTCAACATCTGGGAATCAATCTCATATCGATCCTCAGATGATCGTAATGAGAGAAGCCATTAAAAAGCTAGCGAATGTTGTCAACATACTGGAGCAGAGTCAGGTTTCCGCCCCACCACAGGATACCAAGGTCGAATCCCCAGAAAGGGAAAAAGCTAGACGACCTCTGACCAGAAGGACCCTCCAGTTCTCAAGAGGAAAATCTTTCAAAAGCCGAACTGAAGAAATCAGAAGTTCTTCCATAATCACAAGACCAACTGTGGGGAAAACTAATAGTGTGTTTAATAGATTGGGCTCTCGACATTCCCTCGCACCTCCAAGCAGGCATGAAAAATCCTATGCTTGAGACTCAGTAAAATGACCAGAACCTATAGAACTACTAGGACCTGAAATGAGAGCCTTAAAGAAACATATCACTGACCTCGAAGCTAAAAACAAAGAGAGTATGGAAGAGTATCTCACAAAAAGTCATTCTCCATTCACTGAGGACATTCTTGCTGAACCTCTACCCAGAAAGTTGAAGATGCCACAACTAACTGGGTATGGCCGAAAATGAGACCCTCTTAGTCACTTGGATAAATATACTTCATAGATGGAGCTTCAAGAAGCATGAGATGCCATAATGTGCCACGCGTTACGTCTCACTTCGAGAGATAAGGTCCAAAGGTAATTCAGAAGGCTCCACCAAAGATCTATAAAAAGTTGGAGTGACCTTGCCATATAATTTCTTGGCCAATTCATAGGTTCTAAGGCAAGGACCACACCCAAAGACCGGTTACTGAGCATTAAACAAGGGAGAACTGAATCATTAAAAAACTATCTTAGTAGATTCAACAAGCAGTCTATGGAAGTTGAAAAGATTTTCGACGACGCCGCACTTATGGTAGTCCTATCTGGATTAAGACCAAAAACTAGGTTCTAGTGGTCCGTACATGAGAATGGACCTTGGGCATACCATGAGTTTATGAGCCGAGCAGAGAAACATATTAGTGCTGAGGAAGCCATGTCGGATTAAGAAGATCTCAAGCCAAATTCAAATCATCCAACTTCACAGCAGACGAAAGGCAAACAAATAGATAAAGATTTTGACCGCGATAAAAGAAAGAACATGAGAGACCAAGGGCGTTCCAAACCA